TTCGGTTTCGGTATGGGTTTTGGCGAAACTGAACTTAATCGGTTCGGTATCGGTTTTCGGTTATCGGTTCGGTTACCGAACCGATACCACCCTTAGTTAAGATAATCCGAACTAAATTTTCTATGGGTGAGTAATTACTTAAGTTAAATTTTAATGCTTAAATTATAATTTTACGCGTGGGGCCCATTGATGTTACTTAAATTAGTAAGTCAAAACATTATTTTTCAAGTTAAACATACTATATTTGTATTTTTTCAACAACCTCTTTATATTACTATAGATTATAAAAAAATTACTAACATAAAGGGTGTTGTTATTTGTTGCCCCAAATTACTACTTGTCGCCCGAAAAAAATATTAAAAAATTATAAATTTACAAAGATATCCCTGTGGTAAATAAAAAGTTAATGGAAAAAAAATACATTCAAACGTCTATCAACTAAGCTCGAAAACCAAAGAAACGTCTAGAAGCTAAGCTTGGAAGCCAAAGAAACGTCCAACAAAGAACCGACTGTGAAGACAAACGTCTAAGGGCTAAGCTTGAAAGCCAAGGAAACGTCCAAATACGAAGCCCGACTATGAAGAGAAACATCTAAATGAGAAGGGGCAACACATTTAAAACTTTTAAATTGCAAGCTTATTATGCCGCTAAACGTCTAAATGGAAAGCTTGAGACCATGCGAAACGTCCAAAGGCTAAGCTTGTAAGGCAGGCAAACGTCCAACATGGAAGCTCCACTATGTAAACAAACGTCCAAAAGGTAAGCTTATAAGGTAGGCAAACGTCTAACATGGAAGCTTCCTTGTGAAAACAAACGTCCAGTAGCAAAGCTTGGAAGTCAAGTAAACATCTAACAGGAAAGCCCGACTCTGAAGAGAAACGTCTAAATGAGAAAGGGCAAGACGTTTAAAACTTTTAAATTGCAAGCTTATTATGCCGCTAACCGTCTAACAGAAAAGCTTGAGGCCAAGTGAAACTTCCAAGAGTTAAGCTCTAAAGCATACTAAACGTCCTACATTATAGCTCACCTATGAAAGCAAATGTCTAGAAGCTACGCTTGAAAGCCAGACAAACATCCAAAATCGAAGATCGGCAGTGAAAGAGCAAACGTGCAAAAGCAATGCTCCGAAGCCGAAGAAACGTTCAGAAGTGAAGCTTGTGGCCCTAACAAACGTTCAACTGCTAAGCTTTGAAGCAAAACAAACGTCCCAGATAAAGCTCCTCGAAAGCTTATTTCGTGGAGCTTTGTTTGTTGGCTGCTGAAATTTGTAGGCGGGTGATTGTTTTGATTAGGGTTTTTTTTGTACGACTCAAACGAATGAGCCTGAATGGTGGGCTGGATATTCACATAAGTGTAGTGAGCACGCCAAGGGCTGCGAAATTTACGTGATTATTTTAACCCCTACTTATCATACTCCAATTTGATGGTATGGTAAAATTAGGTGTACAACACTCACATGGAGTTGGGTCTACTTGATTTTTTTATTTTTGGTGGAACCCACTCAATGTGAGTGTTATGTACACTCCTATGTACAATATTATGTACCTATAGCATTTCTCTTAAAATGTACCCTTATTTTTAATATAATTTTAATAATAAAATCGTAATAATATTTAATAATGACAAAATATTTTTTTTAATAGAATCATATTTAATCATATTTGAATAGAATCGTAATTTTTATTAGTTTATAGATAATTCTCATAGTTATGAATGGATCTCACATAGGCCATTAGTCCAACAGAAAAGACCTCGTTCTTTAGTGAATCAAAGTAGAGGTGTATATTTTTTAGCGAATCAAAGTAGATATATTGTATGCACGTTCATTTTTATATTTTACGGGTTAGAGTACTAATCATGACCATGGATTGGCCCGGCCCGGCCTGCCAATTCGACCTGAACTAGCCCAAAACCGAGCTTGTAGTTTGACTAGGTCGGTTCTGGACCTCATGTAGTTTGACCCGAATCGACCCAGAACCGTTGTGGAAACAGCGAGCCGGGTAGAAATTGAACCCAGACTCGAACCGCGGAATCAAATTTAAAAAATAAAAAAATCTAGTAGTTGGATCTTCAACGAAAAGCTTTTAATGACCCAGATTAGCGGGTTGTCAACAGTTCAATAGCAGACCACGACGCGGCTTGACCCAGTCAACAAATTAAACAAAAAGGTAAATATAGTGGGCCGTATCGAGGGCCGGCCCAGACCCGACCCACCTGGTGAATTTTTTTTACACACGAGTCCAGAATTGTCCCGGTAAAAAACTACGGACTCAGTTCCGGGCCGGTTGACCACAGGCCGATTCAGGGCCGATTCAATCGATTCGGGTCGAACTGGCGGGCGGGGCCATCTCAATGTCGTGACTAGTATGATGAACCCGTAAGATATAAACATGAACGTGCATACAAAAACCTCTACTTTGATTCGCTAAAAAGTGAGGTTCATTTTATTGGATCAATAGTCTAAGTGAGGTCCATTCACAACTATCATAATTATCAATAGACTAATAAGATATTAAAAATATTTCATAACTAAATCTTGACCAACAGTCAAAAGCTTTCAACAATCCAGATTAGCGGGTTGCCAACGGGCCAATATTAGGCCACAGGTCGGCTTGACTCGATCAACAGATTAAAAAAAAAAAGGAAAATATGGCGGGCCGTCTCGAGGACCAACCTAGACCCGGTCCACTGAGTCAAAATTTTTTATACATGTGGCCCCGAATCGACCTAGTCAAACTACGAGCTCGGTTCTGAACCTGTTGACCATAGGCCGGTTCGGGTGAACTGACGGACCTGGCTGGGCCGGTCTATGGCCATGACTAGTACTCTAAACCCGTAAGATGTAAACATGAACGTGCATACAATACATCTACTTTGATTCACTAAAAAATATGCACATCTACTTTGATTCACTAAAAAATGAGGTCATTTCTATTGGACTAATAGTCTAAGTGAGATCAATTCACAACTATGAGAATTGTTTGTAAACTAATAAAACATTACGATTCTATTAAAATATAATTCTATTAAAAAAATAGTTTGTCATTATTAAATATGATTACGATTGATATGGGATATTATATACTGGACCGGTGGTCGAGCAGGACCGGACACCGACCACGTAGAACATCGAGTAGATAGCGACAGTTAAGGGAATCATAAGTGGTCGACAGA